TCTTTAAAAATTAATTAAAAAGTTTTGGCAAATTCATATTTTCATTAGCAGCTTGTCCACGCCAGGCCAGAAATGAACATTGTCCTTTGATATCATCATTTATTTTTTTTAAATGTTCATACAAAATAAAATTTATAAAATCAGATTTGTATGAAAATTAAAATAAAAAAAATATGATATTAGTATTCTGACTTCACCATACCATTTATATGCATATGTTAACATGGGCTAGTGTCGGCTCATATACCCATTTACCTAACACCCTGTATAATATATTTAGATTACTACTAGCGTGGACTGCATGTGACTTATTTCCACCCGGTCGAATTAACTGCGCACCAGGCAGCCGTGACGTCACATCGCCGCTCTGGTACGGACGGGGCGAACGCGGGTGTGCGGGTGAGTGCGAGAGAGAGTCGCATTCTAGCGAGGTGCGCAGTTAGCTTGCTCGGGTTGTACTCGTAAATTTCAATTTAAACTAAAGCCTGGTCCGTGAGCACGTAGAATTTTGTCCAATGACCCCAAGCTACCCATCCTTATCGCTCGCGCGTAATTATATTGCTGTCGCGACTGTGCGACGGGCGCCCGCAGTGAGTGTGCCAGCGCGACAGCAATATAATTACGCGCGAGCGATAAGGATGGGTAGCTTGGGGTCATTGGACAAAATTCTACGTGCTCACGGACCAGACTTTAGTGATCAACGCGAGTCAAACTTTTTTTTAAACTTTGTAATAGCATTTTAATTTGTGTTTTTTTGCAGGAATCCGGAGTGATCCCGTACCTGGAGAAACTCGGCTTCGATATTGTGGGGTACGGGTGTATGACGTGCATCGGCAACTCAGGGCCCATTGATGACAACATAGCCAACACCATAGAGAAGGTAAAATTGAAATTGAAGTTTTTTACTTAGGCTTTTGTTGATCTAACCAAATATTCCATATTTATTTATATTTAAACTCATCATAATATTTCATTTTTTTTAAATAAAAATAACAATTTGTATAGTCTGGTCCGTGAGCACGTAGAATTTTGACCCATGACCCCAAGCTACCCATCCTTATTGCTCGCGCGTAATTATGTTGCTGTCGCGCTCGCACACTCACTGCGGGCGCGCGTCGCACAGTCGCGACAGCATAATTACGCGCGAGCGATAAGGATGGGTAGCTAGGGGTCATTGGACAAAATTCTACGTGCTCACGGACCAGGCTTTAAATACAAATTACTATAGGTCTAGTAACTCAGTCAGTGCCTGAAGTATCCAAGCGGCACGGAAGGGTGATTTGAGACGTTAAACGTCAGCGAGACTTCAGATTTATGTGCTCCATCACGTCATAATGAGGGCTATCGTTTTTATACTTAACAGTTGGCACCCCTGGCGATTGACAGGACCTTACTCTACAGTGGCGCCATCTTGATGAGTGCAAATGCGATAGTCCTCCTACCACTTTAGCGCTCACCAGTTGGCGCCACTGTCTTCGCTACTAGCAAGTGACAGGACCTTACTCTACAGTGGCGCCAACTGGTGAGCGCTAAAACGATAGCCCTCATTATATCAATGTCACCCCTACCGTGCCGCTCCTATATCTCAAGCACTGACTGAGTTAGCGCTAGATTTATAACAATCCCGCTAACCCCTCGCGATCAGCTAAATATGTTTGTGTTACGAGTGCGTTCACCACAATAGTCCAGCGGCGAGGATCGAACCCGCGTTCCCCGGATCACGAGGCCAATCCGACACCGTCACCGTTCTGCTATCGTCGCTTCTAAACGAGGAGACTAACGCCCGTATTCACAAACGATGCTTGCTTAAGTGAAGCAGCAAATCGAACGCACAGCGTTGAATAGATCTCTGTGGTTAGTTCGTGTGTCACCCTGTGCGTCCACGCGCACTGTGAGACCTCATAGTAATGTTTGTGAAAACGGGCGTAAATGACTGATGATGATGTTTCAGAACGAGCTGGTCTGCTGCGGTGTTCTATCGGGCAACCGAAACTTCGAAGGCCGTATCCATCCTAATACACGAGCCAACTACCTTGCTTCACCGCTGTTGGTGATTGCGTATGCTTTAGCAGGCACAGTTGATATCGATCTGGACACACAGCCGCTCGGTAAGTCGTCAGCCATTATCTATCATGCTTAAATAATGCATCATCTATCAGTGATGCAGCGTGTGTATCGTGCATCGTCTATGATATTCATCTATCATGGCATCACCAATCAGGCATACCTAATCCATTATGCATCAAGAATAATCATTAATCATCATACTTCTTTTACTATCTAATGTAACACTAGCCACTGGAAGACCGTAATCATCTAGTACGAGAGCCAACTACCTTGCTTCACCGCTGTTGGTGATTGCGTATGCTTTAGCAGGCACAGTCGACATAGATCTGGACACACAGCCGCTCGGTAAGTTCACGCATCATTTATCATGCATGCATCGTCCATCATGCATCAAGTACCTATCATTTATCAGGCATAACCCATTATACGTCAAGGATAATCATCATACTTCTTTTACTATCTAATGTAACACTCAGCCACTTGAAGGCCGTATTCATCCTAATACTCTCGTATTCTCTCTATAGTCGGCTCTCGCCGACTACCTTGCCTCGCCACTTCTGGTGATAGCTTACGCTATAGCTGGCACAGTCACATAGACATAGATCTGGACACACAGCCGCTCGGTAAGCAAGATGCATCAAGTGTCATGCATGAATCATCCATTATGCATCAAAAAAATAAAAAATTGGTGATTACATATGCTTTGGCTGATACAGTTGATATAGTTCTGGACACACAGCCGCTCGGTAAGCAAGATGCATTAAGTATCATGCATGCATCGTGAATCATGCATCAAGTACCTATCATGTATCGTCTATCAGGCATGATCAATTATGTATCAAGAATTATTACCATATTTTATTATCTAGCAAAACACTTGAGTCACTCACAAGGCTTGGTAAGCTATCCATCCAAATATGCGAGCTAACTACTTAGCCTCGCCTCTGCTGTTGATAGCTGGACATCGATTTGGACAGAGCCTCTCGGTAAGTTCACATATTATCATCAATTTCAAATTCTTTATTACTCCATGTTAGAATACAAAGGTTCTTACATAATACGAGCATAGACACTAGGCAATATAATGTGAAAGTTTAGTATCCAGTGTTTTATTTATGAGAATAGATCTACCGGCCTCTAATAGTACCTACATAATACAACCTATATCACTTATCGTACAATCATTCATCGGCATCACGCATCATTCATTATCTAGCATGTATAATGTAACATCATCATCATTTCAACCAAAGGACGTCCACTGCTGAACATAGGCCTCCCCCATCATACATAATGCATCTTAAATCATGCATTATACATTGTTCATAATGCATCATGAATTCTAAATTCTATGACAATTTTGTCTAAAACCACAATGTACATCGGTTTTCAGGCAACCGTCCCGATGGCAGCCCAGTCTTCCTCCGGGACATCTGGCCCACTCGCTCCGATATCCAGGAGGTGGAGAACAAATTCGTCATCCCGGGCATGTTCAAGGAGGTTTGCACATCTTAGCTTAATTTATTTATAAGGAAACTGTGAATGTATGGTGTATGTTTTGTTGGTTGTCCTTAAATAAATAAATAAATAAATATATAAACATTTGATAAAACTTGACAAATAAATTGCCTTAAATTGATTTGTGCAGCTGGTTCACAATGTACAGTCGCGGAATGAATAGGTTCGTCACCTTAGTGTCGGTTTTTTCGCTTGCACTAGGTACTGTAAGAGTCAAACCTGCCAACATAACAGTGCAAGAAACAGTGCTGCTAACATTTAAATAAATATGACGTTTGCTAACGAATAAGGTTTTGCTTGTTTAATTTTCTATCCGGAGGATTCCGTGGAGGGTAGTTGAACGGGAAGCATGGTCGATCTGTTTTAATGGTTTCAATTTATTATTTAATGGACTTTAGTGTACAAATTTGGTGTTATTTTGTGTTCTAAAGTGCAGTGAAGTGATAAATTATAAAAAACATTGAAATACTTCGAATTTGAGCGCGCATCGAGTGTCGAGTGGGTTGTCGTATGAACAACCCGCTTTGGACCCGGTGGCGTCTCGAAACCTGCTTACGGGCATACTTAACTCCACGGAATCCATGAAAAATCAATAGAACTGAAACACCCACGTTCTATTGATAACTATGTCAATATTTTTCACTCGACATTGGCAGAAATAAACCTCCCAGAGAGGTTTGGTTGCCACAAATAAAATAAAAAAAAAAAAAAAAATTCTATCCCATGAAATGTTACAAAATGTAGTTTTTTTTATTTAATAGAAATAATAATGGCAGGTTGAACCAACAAGGTTTTAGTTTATCAATCATAATTAATCTTGACAAGATAAATCGTCAAACAACTTTGATCTGAATAATTTTGAACTTTACTGACGAACAGTTAAAGATTATTTTCTCTAACTCGAGATTATTCTGTAACATAGTTTCAAAAGGTATAGCCTGACCAGTGGGTCTAGTCAAAACGCACTTTAAAATCGCAAACCCATCGCAAACCAGTCGCAAACAAATAAACAAATCGCAAAAGAGGTCGATAACAAAAAAGGCTCAGTCAAACTGCAAAAAATCGAATCGCAAAGCCCTACCTATCGATAATCGAAAGACTGGATTGAAATTTNACTTTGACTTTGACTTTGACAAAATAATTATTACACGTTTATGGTATAAGATAACTACGGTGGATTATTAATTATGTAGGTACGTTTTGTAAGAAATTCAGACAATAATTACGAAAAAAATAATAATGTAGGATTACTTTTTTATTATTTCAGGAAGATTTACGAAATTAAAAAAATGTAAAAGTTTAATTCAGAGTGATACTAATAATATATTGTTCTTATTTCTAATTATTAATTAACAAGCGACGATTATAATTTATAACAATTTTATTTCTCGGTGAATTAAAAAATAACTGCTCACCTTTCTCCAAATTAAAAATTAAACTGCAAATTCACTGCACAGTGCACACAATACGTTAATCCAAAAACAATTTAAAAACAAACATTACACGTCATCATAAAAAAAAACAGAAAAAAAACTCCCGCCAAAACTGTCACAGATAGTAAACTTTTTTTATTTTCAAATGATTTTGCGTTCCGATTTCAAAAATTCGAACTCGCGCGCTAAGACCGAGCGCAGACGATCGCACGGTGCGCCACGTAAAGCCCGACTGGGCCCGAACGAAACTGAAGACTGAAACTTTCGTATGCAACAAGTATGTAGTTACCTGTATGTTTGTGTGCCGTATTTTGTGGCCAGTTAATGTGGCCATGGTATGATAACATTAGTTTTTAGAACGAATTAGTAAAGCTTTTTAGCCCAGTTCTAGTTTATTTGTACATATTGTATGTACCTGCTTAGTATGTCAAAATCTCTTATAATTTGGTAGATTCCAGTAAATGCCTTTATTGAAACTTAATCAAATGTAGCATGTGAACAACATATTTTGTCTCTTGTTCTGTCTTTAGTTTCTAAAAATAAATATAAAAGGGAGTTCTCAGTTAACATACAGAAAAATGGTTACCAATTCTAGTCTTTTAAAGCTAAACTAGTGACATAAAATGACTTTATCCTTTTACTACGCGCTTGTCATAAAATCTACTTTGTTACATTTGAGTTATCTGAGTAAGATTGTGTAAGAAAAGTCTCGCAGTCAAGAATAAAGAGTTATTTTCTTACACGCTCGGTAGAGCTGAACGAAAAACATAGAAATTGTGACATTTACGAAAATTTACTAATACTTAGCTGATTTTTTAGTACATCTGACGATATTTTTGGTGGCAAAAGGGCTACTATTACAACGATATACGATGCCACGCAGGTACGGTCTTTGTGGAAATCCTTGGGGGAGGCCTTTGTCCAGCTGTGGACGTCTTTCAGCTGAAACGAACGAACGAAAGAACGATGCCACGATGTTTGCTTGATGTGCCGTCTTCTGTACTTGGGTTAAAAGAAAACTACTTTCATACTTAATTTATTTACTCGTATAAATTAACGTACATTCTCAGCTCAATACTTCTAAAGTTAAGTTATTCTTTGTTACTGAATCGCAAATAACTTTTTAGGTGATGGAGGTATTGTCACTCAAAGTAACCTACCTCCTTACCTTTTGCGCCCCAACGCCTGCACAAGGGAAAGCCTATAGGCCCCAGGGGAATACAATTGGGGTCAGTTTAGGAAGCGGTCACTGTAGAGCCGTTGACACGAATGAAATTGAACTGAAGGCATAAATTTCCTAATCTAAAAGTTACATCCACTTAAAAGTTAATGTTATTAACAGCAATCTGAATGATAGATATTAAGTAGCACATACTTTTTTATTGCTCTTTTTAGGGCCCTTCAATTACTTAAATGTGTGTTGGAATTTGTGTATTTTGGACTTGGACTTTATTTCTTATTACTTCAATGCTCAGAGTCACTGAATTCTTTCAATTGTGCTGAAATGGTCTTCTTTTAGTATGGAGTAGGTAATACCATTTCCCTTTTATATTCTAGATTCTAGCATTCTTTCTTGTTAGAAAGATGTTTCTAGTATTTTATCCTATGTCGCGTAAGAATGAATAATAAATGCATTTGTATAAATATTATAATACACATAACTCTACCATAAAATCTTACTTTAGTTGATTATGTGCTTTTGACAATGTGTAGTTTCTAGTTACTTTGTTGCATACAAAGATATGCCAATTTGTTTTCGTGACATTTACTTTGTAATACCATAAAATTATTTTACAAAAATGAATCATTCTAAATATTATAACTTTGTCTATTATACAGAAAATTTTGTTTTTGTATCGATTCGTTGTTTAGTTGACGTTTTGGAAACTGCTTTTCATATTTAGATTTTTTCCAACAGTTACAAAACAATAACTTTTTTGTTTCACTCGAAGCCGATTCCCTAGAATAGAATAGAATAGAATAGAAAACTTTTTATTTGCAAGAAAGGTATACAAGCAGGTAAGACATAGATTAAAACAGAGAGAAATAAACAAGTGGACAATTAACTGCTTGTGCCCCTCTGACAAAAAGGCACCCGCTCAGCGTACATCAAGACCGCCAGGGCTTGTCTTGAAACTGATTTTCAGCGGGGGCCCTCTGTTGTCACGGCGTACCCCTGCTGACGGAGATGCAAGAGGAGAAAGGAGTCCACAAGTCCGGCAGCAGGGAGAACGCAGCAGCAAAACACTGCGTTTTTATTAAAACAAAACAGCAGATACAAATTTGTTCGCCGATTGTAAATTTTTTATTTGAATTGAACGAACAAAAGAGGAGACGATATTTTATCGTAAACTATTATAATACTTTTACAATATAATAAGTGTTTTCAATTTTCAAGATCTTAGGTTCTACTTATTCCATAAATTGGTTTCCTCCTCCTCTACCATAAATATTAATGAAAAATGACGTTGCAGTAAAAAGAATCTGAAAATATTATAAAGTTTGAAATATTACCAATTTTTCAAGGAATACGAAGTGCTTTTAGTTCGGGACCTAGACGTTGGGAATTTCAATAGCGGTCTAGAAATCGAGTAGTATTTCATTTAATATTGAACCTGGACTGAAACTGGTTACGTGTAAAAGGACAATGTTTTGGAATTGAAAATCTGGTGATCATAACAATGTTTATGGAAAAGTGGCGTACATTCCTATTATTTCCTATCAGGCAATAAAGATTTAGTCATGAGACTTTTTTATTAAGCTCGTTAATAGGTATTTGTATTCAGAAATTGTTAATGAAAATCTGGCCATTAAATCGAACTGCAAAAAAAACATACATATTTCTTTCTTTTTTGAGTGGAAGAGCTTTTAATTAATTTTACTTAACAATAATTCCTTGGAGAGTTCTAATAGTATAATTCCGTTCAGTTTTAAAAAAAAAATCAAAATTAAAATAAAATGTTTTATTTCTTTTATACTGTAGCATTATTTTGTCCTCTGTAGTTCCTTTTATAAAAGACCATACCACTCACAATATTGTTGCATAAATCTTAACTCAATCTCAAAAGCACACTTAAACTTTTTACGGGCCCGTACATCAGCAGTAGTGGTCCCAAGGCGCCATTTTCTCCAAATGAACCGTTCTACACAGTTTACACTTTTTAATAAAAAAGTTTTACGTCAACAACTCGGGGGACAAACCGACCTACATACAGCTTATTTGACGTTTTGTTTTTTCAAAAACACAGAATGAAGTATGGACTTTGCTCCAAAAAGGTCGGTTTAGAAAGGCTAGACTAGGCTTCGCGAGCCTCTAGCCTGAGGCGGAGCTGCGGACGAATGTCCAACCAGGACAATAACTCGCGGCTCCGTTTCTTTGGGCTCTGGTTTTAGTGGGTAGAACCCGCCTTTAGTGGGTAGGCGGGGAGAGTCCCACATAACCCACTGGCCGTCCCCATAGACCAGTGGGTATGCGCAAAGCATTTCCCGACGAAAAAAAACGGCTTCACCCGCGTGAAATTTAGTTTGTCACAGATCGTCATAAATTATAGCCTAATGTTATTCTGGGTTATAAACAATAATACTGTAAAGTTTCATAAAAATCCGTTCAGTAGTTTTTGCGTGAAAGAGCAACAAACATCCATCCAGACATCCAAACTTTCGCATTTATAATATTAGTAGGATAGGATTTCGCAGATTTTCTTAAAAAACATTTTAAAGAAGGGATTTGAATATTTATCCGTTGTTAGCCGTCGGTGAAATTAAATATATTTAGATCAGACGGTTTTCTAGGTAGCTGACTCTATTTTGGAATTCTAAAAATAAGTAGATTACGGTACAGTTTTCGTTTTAATTAATCAGGCACATAGCTAGATTTAAGTAAGTAGGTTGTTTAATAAGTAGCTCTACTTAATTGAAAGCAAGTACTGAGTGATGTAGATAATAAGTCAAAGTAGACGGGCATATTATACAGCAATTACTTATATCACAAGTTTGTTGCTTGTTAACAAGTTACGTCCTTTAAGCTAAGCTGGATAATAATATAGCTTATTACCTTTGTATAGAACTACTAGAGTTTCCAGGCCAACTAACTCTCCCTAAGTACTTGGGCAAGCAGCCATGTTAGCAAGTAAGTAACGAGTAAACCCCTAGTTCACAAGTCACTAGCAATTCACATCTTTATCAACCTTTAATCATCTATACTAATATTATAAAGCTGAAGAGTTTGTTTGTTTGTTTGTATACTTGAACGCGCTAAATCTCAGAAACTACTGGCCCGATTTGAAAAATTCTTTCAGTGTTAGAATAAGCTATAGGCTATATACCTTCACGCTACGAGTAATAGTTGCAGAGCAAAAATGAAAAAAATTGCTAAAACGGGTTTTCACGCGTACGAAGTCGCGGGTACAGTTAGTTCACAATAAAACTGTCCCTTCTACGCCCTGTGGTATGAAAATACAAAATTACTTATGTATGTGTGAGGTAAATCTAAATAGTTAGCAATTTTATAAAAATAGTAAAGTACTTATAGATATTCTTTATACAGATTATACAGGGTGTTTCTTGTAAGGTGTCAAGCCGAAGGCAGGTGATAGGTGAGGACTAGACCTATCGATTTCACCCCCATGTATGTTCTACGATTTTTCATAGTTTAGAAGTTATCGTCAATTTTGTGATTTTTTCAAATTGTATGACCCAGTAGGCTTTAAATTTTTTTATCTTTCTTTTTGGGTCGACTTTTCTCAGATTTCTTTTTTTTGACAGATTCCCTATTAATTGCAGATTTTTGAAAAAAATAATCAACTTCCTATCTTTGATGCAAGATACAATTTTTTTGCTAGAAACATAAAAAATATGCTATTAGCGGAACATTCTAAAATTTTCAACTTAAGAGTTAAAAAAAAAGAAGAAATTCCATAGGTCCAAAATAATTTTAAAAACTGCGCAGTTTTCTGAACTTTCATAATAACACAAAAAAACATGTACTTAATAGGCCATTATTTTCTGTAATCGCTCCACTAATGTGGTAAGTCGGAGATTCCGTTACATGTTTTTGACTTTCTTAGGACTAACTAATGATTGCAATTCTCTAAGTTTACGTTACTTAGAACACAT